GGGCGGGAGCCAGGCTGCCTGCCCCCACAGAGGGGGGTTGGCGAGTGTAGCCACAGGAAAGTTAAAACCTACTGACCGTGTAAGCGAATGGAAGTTTCCCTATGGAACAACATTTAGCCTTTACGTAGCATTTCATAGCCCTGATCCTGCAGTGTCTTCGGCTCTGCCTCTCTGCTGAAGTCAACAGCACGGCCGGGAGCTCGCTGCAGGAATGGACTCCGACCAGGAACCCTGAACATGTCTGAACATCCCCCGCCTGACAATTTCCTGCCCCCGTGGAACTGAAAAGCAAACTGGCAAGCCGAGGTCCCTGCTCAGCGCAGGTCTGGGCGAGGAGTCTCCGCTCACTGAGCCGTGGGTGTGAGGCACAGACGTGGGTCTCGACCTTGCAGTGGGATCTGCTCGCGTGGTGCCCTGCGTCCATGCAGAGCGTCAGTGACTCCAGCGGGGATCTGCACAGGACAGGGAACCACTGGGCGAATCGGAGGGCAGGACTGAGACCACCGTTTCCTCCTCACATCCCTCCCACGACTTCTTTTCCAAATTCCTTCCCCTCCTTTGTTAAAGTCCTGGGCTCGCTAGAGCAGGAGTGGGCAACCTCCCTCCCCTTCGTTCATTTTCATCTGGCCTGCAGGCCACACATGTTCAACTCACCCACCGCGGGGGCAGAGGCTTGGGGTTTCCCCTTGCAGCGAGGCAAGCTGGAGCTTGTGGCTCCAACCCCTCGGTGCCAGCACACCCCACTGTGGGGGGGCGGGGGGAAGCCCCTTTCCTCCCTCCTTCTCCCGCAAGAGCAGGTGAGTTGAATGTCTGGGGTTCCCCGCTGATACTGTTAGTGGTTCAATGAGCCTGATACACAAAAGGTCCTTCACCCCTGCACTAGCCAAACCCATAATTGTGTAATTCTGGGACAACGGTGCTACTGCAACTCTTACAGAAGTCCCGCTTTGTCCACAAAGTTGCAGGCTTGCGCAACTCCAGAAGAACTAGGAAGAGTCAGCGGATTTTCACAAAGGGGGCAAATAAAGATATAAAAACCAAATTAAGAATTAAGAGTTCGGATCTTCTGAGATTTCCAGAGCTGGCCAACCTAAACATTGGCTGTTGGGGCTTTTTCTTCTCTGCTAATTAAAAACAACATGATCTCTTTCACATTTGGAAAATTAATAGCTGTGAACTTTGTCTACCATTTTAATTGATTCGGTGTTAAAATATATTGGTCAGATTCCGAGTTCCAGACCAAGGTAACAATTACATTCATATGCTGCTCTCCATCCACGCACAGTTCCCATTGGTGTTGAGAGGTCTATGCAAGAAGCCAACTACAATCCTTAATATCATACAGTGAACTTTAATGGGATAAGAGCGAGGCCTAACACAACCCCTCACGTACCTCTTGCATCTAGGGGTTGGGATGTACCATAATGGATTTCCCTGCTCTCTTCTTGGGCATGACCCTTTTATGAAAATGTACAAAAATCCAGCATTCAACCACCCAACTCCAGTTCTTGTGTAAACACACACAATGCCACTGCCATCAATGCGCCTGATTCTACTAGGGCATTGAAATAAACCTACCTGATTATGCCAGGGCATATTTGGTGCAGAAAACAGGGTCTTCGCATGTCCCCAAATCCCTGCCTGACCTTTAGATTTGTGTTGGCAAAATCTCCCCTCATAGCACTTTTCAATTAGACTCTGTTTATAGACCACCTCCATTTTGGTGGCTGACGGCGGGGGAGGAGGGCAGTGGGCATATGATTTTAAGGCAAGCCAGATATGGGGTTTTCAGAGCTGGGTCGCGGGGCCGCCTTGGTAAGCCGCTGGATGCTTTTTTTATCTAAGCGTCCATAGGCCCAGAGCCTCGCGGCTCCCATTGGCTGCAGTTCGCCATTTCCAGCCAAGCCCTGGCCCTTGCTGCTTCCAGCTTGGCTGGAAATGGCAAATCGCAGCCAATGGGAGCCACGAGGCTCTGGGCCTAAGGACGCTTAGATAAAAAAAGCATCCAGCGGCTTACCAGGGCAGGCCTGCGGCCCAGCTCTGAAAACCCCTGGGCTAGATTCTGGGCCTGTCAGATCTTCACAGTTTCCCTTTCCCGGCCTCACGACACCTGTTACTGTCAATCAAACGTGCTACCTGACTGACCAAAATCACTCATTCATATGCACTTTGTGTTACCGCGTTATCAGACCCATCACTGGGGGGGGGGGTCCCTCTGGACCGGGGCTGTACTCCTATGTTTTAAGTGTGTGTGTGTGTGTGTAGCAGCTCCCAACAGGGGATGATACACACCCTGAGGCATGGTGTGCAATCTTCCATGTACTCTCTTAGCTTGCACACCTACTCCTTCAGGCTCGGATGGGGCAGTCTTTGAGGATTCAATGGGAGAAGTCAATGGGGAGCCGTGGGTGTGCAAGAAATGAAAGGGAGTTGGTCCTTTTATCATTCACGGGGGGTAAGTCCAGTATTGGTCTTAATACAGGGATCCTGCTTCCGCCCTTACCGGTAAGAATTATTATTATTGACGTGCATCACTGTAACACCACCAGGGTAAACCTGGCCCAGGCCCACATGGTGGTGGGTGCAGCACAAACACAGAACAATAAGCACCTTTTTCGAGTCCGACTTGTACATGTGAGGGCTAAAACCATTTCTCCCCCCCCCTCCCCCCGGCATTTTTTTTTTAAACAAAAACTGACATTTGAATGATCTAAGATCCATGGTTCTTAGGCAGAAGCGTCAGTCAATTCAGCTCCCACACGAACAATTGCACGGCCAGCGAAGTTAACGAAGCTGCACCTGATCGGGGATGGATCTGAGGCTGTCTGTCTCAGCCGAATGGTGACGTTATGGCTCAAACCCATAAAAAAAATCAGCCTCGAGTTTGAATTTCCCAACTGGCATCCTTAAACTATTCAGGCAGACTGGGATAAAGCATCAGTCTTCACTCTGCCAGTTTTAGTGGCCATTTTAAACATTACACAATTTTATTGAGAGTCCCCAGGAAAGGACTAACAGAAAGCATGATCTCAAGGGCAAATCCATGTCGGGGTTCTGGATTTAGTATTGCCTCACAGCCAAGGCACCTTCCTAATTTTTAAATGGTGCTCCAAAGACCTGTACTAGAGCCTACACACACTCATGTAATTCTATTGGGATTACTCATAAGCTCAGATTCTTGCAGGATGATTGTCTTTTTTTTGGGGGGGTGGGAAGGGGAAGAGTACACAAGAGAAGATCTCCAAGCACAGATCCCTTTCTGAGGAGGAAAGCCAAGTGCTCCTGGGCGACAGAGCTGCTCTCACCTTGATTCTTGGGAGCTGTCATTTCCAAGTCGGCAGGACTATCTGCTTCTCCGTTCATTCTCTGCCTGTCTGACCCAAAGGTGATCCTGCTGGCTCTCAATCCACCTTAAATCAACCAAGCTTCACTCTAAAAGCAAACAGACACGGGAGCTAGAACCTCTGCTTGCAGAAAACCTGTCCTCCGGCCCCTCCACCCCAGCCTCCCATTTCCAATAGGACCAGCCCCAGGATCTGAAAACTCCAAACAAAAAAGAGACAATCGCAGCAGAGCCAGTAGAACGCCGCTAACGGCACCCCCTGTACTGGCAGCACCACTGAAAAACTGGGTACCAAAAGCCTGAGTAGGTTGGGACAAAAGCATCTGGGGGGGAGGGGGGACTCCGGAGATCTAGTGTCACCCCCACCCTCTAAAAGACTCCTCCTCCTGCCCTCGTCTCTCCAGCACACTGCAGAGAACCCCTCCCTGGACTCCTGAGCTCTTCTGCCTCTTGGAGGGAAGGGGGACCCAGAGAAAAGCCAGCCCCAATGCTGAGCTGCGCAGGGGAGACATCCTCACATATGGGCATCAGCAAGATTGGGGGGGTGAGTCTGAGGGAGGGGACTGGGCTGGAAGGAGGCAGCAGAGGAATCCCCCGGAAAAAGGAATGAGGGGGCTGGGGAAGCAGAGAAACCCGTAGCCGAGGGGGGGGGCAGGATGGAGGGGGCTGGGTGTATGAGGGAAAGGGATAGATATAGCCCGGTTGGGGCAGGATTGGAGGGGAGGAAAGATCTAGGGGAGAAAGGGGGAAATGAGGCACCGATACCAGGCCCAGACTGCGAGGAGAGAGACCTTCTGATAAGAGACAGGAGGGGCAGGATGAAGTGGGAGGAGGGGGAACAGATCCCCAGGCTCAGAGAGGAGCAGGCTTGCTTGGTGGGGAATGGAGAGGCACAATCCTGGGAGGGGGAAGGCACCAATCCCTGGGTGGGAGGAAGGGCAGACCTGGACAGTAAGGGGCAGATCCACACAGAGAGAGCCAGGCCTGCCTGATGGGAAGGGAGAGCAAATTCCTGGGAGGGGAAGGTGGGGGGAGGGTTGGATCCCTGGACCAGAGGAGGGCAGGCGCAGATGACAGGGAAGGGGAGGCACAGAGGGCAGATTCTTGGGGCAGATGGGGGGAGGGGAGCTACCCAGAGGTGGAGAGGGACAGGCCTGGATGGGAGAGGGGGCAATCCCTGGAT